ACTTGAAAAGTAGGATGGTGATAATATTCCAGAGAATGGATACAAGTATTAAGCAAGATAACATTATAAAACATTTTATACAGTGCCTGCTGTGTGTGGTGTATAGTAAATACTAGTTTCTATTATAACTCCATCAAGTTAAAACAAACAGATTTGGTTTCCATTTGTAATTTGACCAAATACCTGAGTCAATTCCACCAAAAATGTTAACCCGATCTCCAAGAAAATCCTCGCTAAAAATTAGATTTATTCTTGTTCTTTAATGAGAGGTCAACTGTGAAATCACAGTATACCACAGCAAAATAATGACAGGCATTGAGATAATAGATTTTAAGCAAAAAATCTCATTTGTCTAATCTTCCTCCAGGAAGTAAAGAGGACAAGTTGGGCAGTGGTTAGAAAATGCACAGAATAAGACAAAATATTACACAAGTACTTCCCAAAGCTCACTCTTTAAAAGCAGTGGATGAGCACCAATACCAAAATACACAAGGCCACCTCTGTTCCTGCTATCCTGAAAGCCACAGCCGTTGAATGATGTCTGGATTATTATGGCAGTAGTCTCTCATTTCACCTGTAACATGAGATGACTGTCCAAACTGAAGCATTTCTACCAAGGCTTTGGGTAGGGATTAATGGGAATTTAGGCTATGTTACATTTTGGGAATAGGCAGGCCATGCAAAGCAGAGAAGAGTAAAAGAAGCCAAAATAGATTGGATAACAGCAAGATAACGATCGAGAGATTTAAAAAAGAAAAAAGGAAAGAAATGTACCAGAAAAGGTTGTGAAAAACTGTAGGAGCCTGTTAATGGGATGCCATGAGGCTCTTTAGGATATTTTTACATTTTCCAAATAATTTTCTGTTTCCGACAATGATTGCATCCCTGTCTTGTACATCAGCATTGTCCTTATATCTTGTTTGTGGACAACCTTAGAATCTTTTTCAATCCTTTTGATCATCTGGCTTTATCCTGTGAGATACCTTATCTGTTCTTTGGAAGGCATTTCTCTATAAATAGATACAGAACTGCCTTCTTCATGAACACAGAGGTTGTAATAGGCACACAACATTCAAAGGGCTAACTAGGTCCATCCTTGTCACTTTTCCATTTGGTCCAGACGGTACACTCTCCCTGAACACTTTTTTGACTCAGATGGCAGGCAGTGCAATTACTTGTCCCCACTTAAAACTATCTTGCAAATGAGCAAGAAATAGCCAGCTTGGGGATGGAGAGGAGTTGGTGTTGCTTGTTCCTTGTAAGAAGGCAGCAGCCATATGGTATAAGAAGTGTCTGATTAGGCTCACAATTAACCTAAAAGCTATCCTCCCAGAAGCAGCTACAACGGCAGCAACCTGCCTGTCAGTTCCAGTCCAGGAATTCTAACTGCTATTTCAGTTGTTATGGAAACTGACCACACTGCTTCCTAAAAAATTCATTATTCCAGCAAATATTAGTCATTCTGGGGCTTCTAAATGAGTGATGCAGACACAGCGATGGAGGAGCACGGAGGAGGAAGGCTAGAGATGAGAGAAGACCTCACAGAGACAGGCTTGCTCTGGTGGCCCAGCTGGTAAAGCATCCGCCTGCCATGCGGGACACGTGGGTTTGATCCCTGGGTGGGAAGATCCCCTGGAGAAGGGAAAGGCCACCCACTCCAGGATTTGGGCCTGGAGAATTCCATGGACTGTGTAGTCTGTGGGGTCGCAAAGAGTTGGAGACGACTGAGTGACTTTCACTTCACACAGAGACCTGACCTTGGAGCAGGATTAGCCAGGGGAGAAGACACTCCCTCCCGGCAAAATCGAGGCAACTTCAAGAGATGATAGTGATGCAGGTGGGATTGGGGTCAGACTCGTGTGGGCGGGGGAAATGGGAAGACACATTGAGGCCACATTGAGGGAGAGAGCTTTGGAGGCCAGTCTAAGGGGCTTGGACCTTTCTGTGGATAAAAGGGAACCAGGAAACTTTAGGAATATTTATCTTATCTTAAGACTAACAGTGAGGATGTCCTTGTAGCTTCTGGCTAATACTACAGCCCTACTTGTCTTGATAGATGTCAAGACAATAATTTGAAAAGTGAAAAATTCAGCCATCTTCTCTCTTCTCATACAAGCCAAAGCACACTAGCTTTACTGGCAAAAGCAAGGGAACTTTGAGAAATAATAATGGTGCAGGTGGGACTGGGCCTGAAGATTCACGTGTGGGTGGAGTGGAAAAGGGGAAGATGCATGTGGAAAAGGGCGAGCTGACTCTTGTGGATTAAAGCTCATCAAAATTGTAATGGGTGTATCCATGACATCCTGAGTATTTTTACGAGCTACAAATTGACCTGCAATAATACAGCCTTAAAATACCATCCTGCCATCTGCGGAGAAAGTACTGTTGACCCTTGAACAACGGGCGGGGGGCAGGTTAGGGGTGCTATATGCCCTCCCACCCCCCGCCACACAGTTGACAATCCATGTATGACTTGGACTGTCAGCTCTCTGAATACTTGGTTCCTGTGACTCCACGATTCTGAATCCTTGGATTTAACCAACCTGGGCTAGGCAATACTGTAGTATTTACTATTGAAAAAAAAAAAATCAGTGCATAAGTGGTTCTGGGCAGTACAAAGCTGTGCTATTCAAGGCTTAACTGCATTTAGAACAAAGGTGTTAATTTTCAAGCAGAATCCAGTAAACAGCCTAGAAGAAGAACCATCTTTTTTTCTTTTATGGCAGTTGCTTTGTACCTTCTACAGGGCAAACAGTAAGCTGAAATCTTTTTTTTTTCACTATAACAGTGACTGAATAACAAGTTGAAATACAGGAGAGTTTGGCTGATATATATATATAAAAACAAATCCTTTATTCAGGGAAGCGGTTCTTAGTGTGGTCTGTGGACTCTTGAGTGTCTTAAGGTTTGTCTGAAGCCATATTTATATTATACTATTTCATTTTCTGAAGGGCACAAAGCTTAGTAACAGGTCAGCCGAGATCTTTAGCTAGATCTGGCTAGACAGAAGCAGTATTTGAAAATACAGTTGAAATTCAACTACAGTGCTAAACAACAGGTGAATCTGAAATAATATTATTCCCAGGGACAATAACAACCACCACAAAATATGCTGTACTATTTTTAAAAGCTTCTTTTTGGACCACATTATTAACAATACATACTTCTATGTGATATTAAAGACCCAACCTTTGGATTCCTGAACTTCAAGTTTAGAAAGCCTCCCCTCTTGCTAATTTGGCCCCTAAGATAAAAGCTGAACAGAAAAAGTGTAATTTATTGTGTATAGTCTAGATGCCAAGGTCATTAATTAAAATTTGTGTGGAAAGGGGAATTTACTTCGAGATTATGGTGATGAGCTTCTCTTCAGCAAGGAGTAGATATAATGTACTTCAACTTTCTGAAAAGCATGTGAAGTAAGTGCAGCAACAGTCCATGCAGCTCCCTGGACTAAGGTCAGCTAGAGACGAGCAGGTCAGAAACGAACTCCGTTGAGCTTACGAATTCTCAGCACTTAGACATGCTGCTCTCTTAGCTGGAATTCTTTTTCCTCTCACCTCCTACTAATCTTTTCAGTCACCCATCGCTTCCTTTAGTTGCCTGCTTAAATGTCACTTCCATAGGGCCTTTCCTGATTACCCATTTTTTACCTCAAACACTCCACCCAGCTTGTTCACTGTTTCAGCTCTTTGTTTCCTTCCTGATGCTTTTCAAGGTTTGTGATAATAATCTGATTAGTTCTCCTTCTCCTCTAGGATGGAAGCTCTGTGATCCCTGCTCACTGTCCAGCACAGGTCCAATATTCAGTAAGGAGCTGATGATTAAACATGGTGGACAGTCTGGGCTGGCAACCCACATAAATTGGTGGTGGGGTGTGGAAGGCCCTGAAATGGGGAACTACAGCCATGGACTCTGGTCTCCTTTCTGCCACTAGTTGTTAGAAAGAATGACATTGATCAAGTCCCTTAAAGGTCTCTGGGACTCAGTTTCCTCATCTGAAAATGAGGGAGATGTACTGACAGATTTCTAAGGAAGCATCCTGACCTCAGGGTGTAAGATTCTAAGTATATCTGGTTATATTTCTAGGGTGCTGATAACTGTTTTTTTTTTCCCCCACTCACTGAGAAGGTGTGGACCTTTTCATTATTTATGAATATAAATAGGTATTTTCTGAAAAATGTACAGGTGGGTGTATTAACTTTTCTGTCAACTTCAGGAACTAGAAGGAAAAGCACTAAGTTTTCGGAGGTTCTCTGACAACACTTTGTCCTATTCTATGTAGTTTTTATGCTGCACAACTGGACCCATTTATTCCCTTGAGAAAAACAGGAAATCTGGCTCACACACTAATTAGCTCTATGACCTTGGACAAGTTCCTTAAACTTCTGAGGCTCATGTTTCTTGTCTGTGTAATAGATATGTAATAGGGATGGACTGCCAACCTATAGGATTGTGTAAGGATTAAAGGAGATAACTTGGAACTTGATAAGCATTCAGAAAATGCTGGTTAAACTCAAATGAATTTTATCCCATGATGAGTTTCCCAATGAGTTTCACTGTACAAGAGCATAAAACAAACAAGATTGTTTTTGTTGTTCACTGCAGGGAATGCAGGGTATGGCTATTAAGGTATATTTGAATATGTGGTCACTGATGTATAGACTTCAGGGAGGAACAGATCATTGTTCAAACAGAAAAGATGTTAGATTTTAACAGACGGCATCATCTTACCCATGGGATTATAATATATTTTATTATCATAGGACTAAACTCAGGGAGTTTGCCATTCCTTAGACTCCTACTTTGTCTCTGCTGAAAAGACACAAAGCCAGAGCAATATAAAACTGTATAAATGAAAGGAAAAATATGGAATCCTCAGGGGCATAATCTTGACTAAAAAAGGTGCAAGGCTTCAAAAACAGTTGAGAAATGAATAGTCTTTCTTCTTTACCACATTATTATCAGCAGTTACATTTGAAAATTTGAGAGCTGTTACTCACCAATCATGAAAATAATTTTACACTTTTTCAAGTCTTCTGTGAAACCTTTAAAATAAGAATAATTTAAGTTATACAGCAAGAAAAACTGTATTGAAACCCTGGTTTTATAATGTATAGTGTAGTATTATATAATATTCTATTCTGTATTATAGTATACAGTACTATCAATATATATATAATCCATATAGAATAGAGCATAGAGATGAAACAAAAATTACAAAGGTGGTGAGTGAGAAAATCTTGGGAGTCACTGCTTTAAAACAAAGAAATGATCAGGGATATTTGGCAAAGTGTGAAACTCTATAGAGTCTATGGAGCCCTAAAAGATTTCCAGTTGTCATGTGGTGTCAGGAGGTGTTTATTTATATACACAATGCTACATTTTGGCAGAAATCCACTATTAATTGAGTGAAAGGCCCAACCCCACCAGAGAGAGACAGAGAGAGAGAGAGCGGGCAGTGGTGAGGCGGAGAGAGTGGTGCATGAAGAATTGAGTTGCGGGTAGAAAAGGAAGAAGACAAGGGAGAAAGAGCTGGAAATAGAAGAAAGAGGTGAACTTGGGGGTCTTTGGAACCATTTGTTTTTCACATTAAAGGGCTTTTTGTTATATATTTTTTCAAATTAAACAGATGCTTCATTCTCTTTACAGAATAGCCCATGGTGATGGGAAAATTCTATATTATCTGGAGCTTTCTATTAAAGCAATGTCACAAAGACAGAAATATAGATCAATGGAACAAAATAGAAAGCCCAGAGGTAAATCCATGCACCTATGGACACCTTATCTTTGACAAAGGAGGCAAGAATATACAATGCAGAAAAGACAATCTCTTTAACAAGTGGTGCTAGGAAAACTGGTTAACCACTTGTAAAAGAATGAAACTAGAACACCTTCTAACACCATACACAAAAATAAACTCAAAATGGATTAAAGATCTAAATGTAAAATCAGAAACTATAAAACTCCTAGAGGAAAACATAGGCAAAACACTCTCCGACATAAATCACAGCAGGATCCTCTATGACCCACCTCCCAGAGTAATGAAAATAAAAGCAAAAATAAACAAATGGGACCTAATTAAATTTAAAAGCTTTCACACAATGAAGGAAACTATAAGCAAAGTGAAAAGACAGGCTTCAGAATGGGAGAAAATAACAGCAAACGAAGCAACAGACAAAGGATTAATCTCCAAAATATACAAGCAACTCCTAAAGCTCAATTCCAGAAAAATAAATAACCCAGTCAAAAAATGGGCCAAAGAACTAAACAGACAGTTCTCCGAAGAAGACATGAAAAGATGCTCAACATCACTCATTATCAGAGAAATGCCAATCAAAACCACAATGTGGTACCATCTCACACCAGTCAGAATGGCTGCTATCAAAAAGTCTATAAACAATAAATGCTGGAGAGGGTGTGGAGAAAAGGGAACCCTCTTACACTGTTGGTGGGAATGCAAACTAGTACAGCCGCTATGGAGAACAGTGTGGAGATTCCTTAAAAAATTAGAAATAGAACTGCCATATGACCCAGCAATCCCACTGCTGGGCATACACATCGAGGAAACCAGAATTGAAAGAGACACGTGTACCCCAGGGTTCATCACAGCACTGTTTACAATAGGCAGGACATGGAAGCAACCTAGATGCCCATCAGCAGACGAATGGATGAGGAAGCTGTGGTACATATACACCATGGAATATTACTCAGCCATTAAAAAGAATTCATTTGAATCAGTTCTAATGAGATGGATGAAACTGGAGCCCATTATACAGAGTGAAGCCAGAAAGATAAAGACCAATACAGTATACTAACACATATATATGGAATTTAGAAAGATGGTAACGATAACCCTATATGCGAGACAGCAAAAGAGACACAGATGTATAGAACAGTCTTTTGGACTCTGTGGCAGAAGGTGAGGGTGGGATGATCTGAGAGAATAGCATTGAAACATGTATATTATCACATGTGAAACAGATCGCCAGCCCAGGTTGGATGCATGAGACAAGTGCTCGGGGCTGGTGCACTGGGAAGACCCAGAGGGATGGGATGGGGAGGGAGGTGGGAGGGGGGATCGGGATGGGGAACACATGTAAACCCATGGCTGATTCATATCAATGTATGGAAAAAACCACTACAATTTTGTAAAGTAATTAGCCTCCAACTAAAATAAATTTAAAAAAAGATTTAAAAAATGGCAATGTGGGAGACCTGGGTTTGATCCCTGAGTTGGGAAGATCCCCTGGAAAAGGGAATGGCTACCCACTCCAGTATTCTGGACTGGAGAATTCCATGGACTGTATAGTCCATGGGGTCGCAAAGAGTTGGACATGACTGAGTGATGTTCACTTTCACTTTCACTGAGGCAGACAGATTAATGCTCTTAACATGTTGGGCCAAATAGTCATCTCAAGTTCTTCACACTTTCAGTTTACTTTTTTTAGTTTACTTTTATGGAGTTGAGCAACTTTTAATCTATTTATGATGTAGGAAAGTGGTTGCTGTTATTATTAGTAGTAGTAGTATGGTTCTATATTAGTCCAGTTTTAAAAAAGAATAATGATACATTCAGATAATGTGATCATTACAAATTAAGTTTATATGAAGTTTTTAATGACATGGGAACATGCTTATGTTATGATAAGCACAAAATATTAGAGATAATGTTTGTATATACACATGTATTCTCACCTATGTAAAAATAGGTATATAGACAATACACTGGAATAAAAATAAACCAGAATGCTAACTGTGATTATTTAGAGGTCATAAGGTTTTAGATGGCTCTGGTTTTCTCCCTTAAAAACATTTCCACATGAATGTGTGTTAATTCTGTAACCAGGAAAAAAGGAAACTTCATTCAGTAATCAATCAATCCCTCTCCAGTTGGGACTGAGTTGATTATTTGCACTTGGCTCATGTTTAAGTGCTTTTCCCCCATGAATCACCGTGATGTCAATGGATGACTGCAATCTTCACATACTGCTCCTGCTGTTATCATCAAATGACACTGTATCTACCACCTCATGCTCATGGATCAGCAGGATTAGAGCTGGGGTTGTTTAGAAAGCCAATTCACTTACTTGTATGTGCTCACAGTCAATGTAAATATATTTCCATGGACCATAATTATAACAAGATTTTTTACCCAGTAGAAATGTTAGAAGGTAATTTTCCTAGAGCAATCATAAACCTCATCTTCTTTGAACAAAGTCAAATTTATGTAATTTTCTATTTTCAGTTCCATGTGGAGCTAATTTTTTTTTTTAGTTTTGGCAAGACTTTTAACGTGACAAAATTATAAACTAGTATAATTTGGGTGATTCTTAGGTTGTATCCCAATGGTATACTACAGAGGAGCAACCATTATTCAAGGAAAAGGACTTAAGTGTTCTAATAAAATTTGAAGAATGTTGAATTAAAGTCAGCCAGTTCTCTTTCCTGCAGGACATGTGGGAGCCTTGCTGTGCTCTTGTATATGTGAATCTTCCAAAGAGGATTGGGTGTTGTGTTTTTCAAATATTTTTACCAGTTACAAAGGGCATGAACTCTTTGAGCATCCTCTCTTCACTGAGCATCTCAGGGCTCATGTCCTCTGGGAAGACAGGAAATACATCACTGAGTAAGGTATCACTTTGGTTCTCTACATGGACCAAGAGGGTAGAAATGCAGAATTCCAATCATAATCGTGTTCCCTGGCTGAGGGAAAAAAGTACATGCTCTTGGTAGGTTATCTCTTAGTGGTGTTTAATAAAAAAGATATGCTCAGAGCTAATAAAATGACAACTTTGGTCTGATCAGTAAAGAAAACTCACCTCCCGTGGTGTCTTCTCCAAACACATTTAATTGTTCATCACCCTGTTTATAAAAAAAATCAAAATATTAGATGATAATACCAACAGGCATTGTGCTGAACTTTTTGCCAACATGAATATACTTAACCTTCCAAATGACTCTATGAAAAAGGTACCATAACTGCCCACCTTTTACAGATGAAAACCATACTTAGATCAAGAAGTTAGCTGTTTAAGGTCACAGTGAGGAACAGAGCCTGGGCTTCAACCTGGGCTGTTTGTGTCCAGAGTTAATGCTCTTTTTAACTGGTACAGTATCATGCCTTTTTTTCTTCATGCATAACTACCTGTGGTCAGAGAGGCTGATGTAAAGAAGACAAAACCCTTCAGGACTTCAAGTTCACCAATAAGTGGAGTCACAGCTGTTTCACAAATAACTCCATGATTTACAGTGAGACTTAGCAAACTTTCTGGAAAGCACCAGAGAGTAAACATTTTCAGCACTGGGAGCCATGTGGTCTCACTATTTAACCACCAGCTGTAGTTTGCTAATCCCTGAACGAAAGCATGAGATAAGGGAAGTTGGAATGACCAGATCTGATTGCCTCCCTTTAAAATTTTCATTTTAATTTTTAATCAAACAGTGACTCCATTCTGCTTACAGAAAAATACATAGTGTTTGGGGGAAAATCCAGAAAGAAAATATGTCAAATGGCATTAGTGATTAATGAGTGGTGACCTGAATGAGAAGGAAGTCCAAAGGGGAGGGGATATATGCATATGTGTGGCTGATTCATTTTGCTAGACAGTAGAAACTAACACAACAATATAAAGTAACTATAGTCCAATAAAAATTAGTTTAAAGAAAGGTACTGGTGAAATTCCTCACTCCTACCTATGTCTCCACACACCCCATTTTCTCACTTCCTCATTGCTTATAGGTTTTTTTGTTTTTGTTTTTTGCTTTTGGTATCTTTCCATACACACAAAAGTTGAATTCCAGATATCTATGGATACACTTGAGTATAAATATAGAATCTTATCACCTCCATAACACAGAAAGAAGCAAACATCATATATGCACATATGTTTATAAAACACATACTAATCTATGATAATACTACCCTTCCCTTCGCTTTCTCACTTATCAGTATATTCTGGAGAAGTTTCTCAACCAGTACAGATGTTCTTGGTTACACAGCATTCTACTGTATGAAAGGTACCATAGTTGTTATTATTTCAAACTAGTTCTTTATTGATGGACCACTGAGTCGCTGCAGTCTTGGACTATTTTTGAAAAAGCAGAACAAAGAATAAACTCACATAAATGGCATTTCATATATATATATCTGTAGGATAAATTCTCAGAGAGGGGGCTGTGCAAAGAATAAACATATTTACAAGTTGATAGATTTTTCCAAACCATTCTCCCTAAAGATTGTATAGTTTTTCAGGTACAACATTTGGCTCATGCTTTACTCCAGCCTCTTGCCTCTAATTTGCTACAATATAGGAGTCAGTTAAATGAGGTTGCTGGGTTGCATTAATGCTCCCTTTAGGTAAACTGCCATAAAAGCACTTTGTCTGAAAACAGAGCGTTGCCATCCTTTTTTAGAACATATGCCTTCAGGGCAATTTACTGCCTGTCTTCTTAGATTTGCCTGTGTATCCAGAGCTATTCCAGGTGAGAAAAGAAGATTCAATGGAGTGGTTATTCAAGGACACATTTACATCAATGAACTACTTTCCATGAATAGAAAGAAAGTCCATTATTCCTCAGTGAGCACCCCGCTACTTCCATTTTTTAGATCATTTCATTTTGCAGCTGAAAGTATAGGGATGGTCTAATCCATTTCTACCATCCCCTGTCCCTATTTTACAGATGAGGAATTGACAGTTAGCAGTCATGTGAGGGGTTCATTACCGTGTCGTCATGTCCAGGGTTGGGATGAAAACCACATCCCCTACCACATAAGCTGGCTTCTAAAGATTTAGTCCCATCAGCTTAGCTACCATCATGGATCTGTGAGTGTCCTGTTGCTCACCTGGCCAAGGGCTTCCCAGATAGCTCACAGTAAAGACTCTGCCTGCCAATGGAGGAGATTCAGGATCAATCCCTGGGTCAGGAAGAGGCCCTGGAGAAGGAAATGGTAACCCACTCCAGTATTCTTGCCTGGGAAATCCCATGGACAGAGGAGCCTGGTGGGCTATAGTCTACGGAGTTGCAAAAGAGTTGGACATGATTTAGGGACTGAGCATGCACACACATAGTTACATAGTGAGGAACAAAGCCTGGGCTTTCAACCTGGGCTGTGTCCAGAGTTCATGCTCATGTAACTGCACCATCCCCCTGCAGCTAACAGCACACAGGGGTCTGGTCCCCCCTCAAGCTGGGATGACTCTGGTATAAGCTGCTCCCCAGTGGTCGCCTTGAGATCAAGTTGAAGCTAATATCCAGCTGTCCTCATCTGCAGCCCTCTCCTGCATCTCTTCCTCTCTCCCAAAGGCACACCTAATAACACACTCACAAAAATCTTCATGGAAGGCTTTGCATCTAGGGAAGCCCACTTGAGACAGGGACCTCATTGAAGCAATTATAGTTCACTCGTTTACCTAAGATACAGCTAAACAGAAAGATGCTCAATAGCCTTTGCTGGAAAAGGACTGTTTAATCAGACTCTAATTATTGCTTTCAAACAGATATTGAATATATTCAGGTAATGCTAAGAGGAGACCCTGAGTCCCCTCCTTCAATTATTATCATTATTATTATTGAATTATTAGACCTATACCCACCTTATATACCAAATTGTATCAGCTGTTTCTTGTATCTGGCTATCATGTCTTGGGAGTTTGTTCAGGGTTAATCTGAATTCATAAAACAATGCACCAGGTTATACAAGGGCCTATCTGACCCCTATGTGGCCTCTTGAGTCTGACCTGTTTATATCCATAGCACTTATTCACAGCCTTCTATTCTGTTTGCCCAAATGCCTCAAATGAGCCCCAGCTTCATTTCCATGAGTGCACTGATAGTGAACAGGCTTCTGGGGGCATAGACACAACTGTCAAAAGCTCTCTCTCAGGACTGTGCTGCCTGGCACTCGTTGACACGAAAGCCCAGGTGAATGGGATGTTTGGTTGGAGGGTGTTATTTTCCAGTGATGCTCAATAAACTTCATGATTCCAGTATGAATCTTTTGTAGAAAAAAGTTATCTGACCTTACACACACACACACACGAGAAACAACTAGTGAAAGGTGAACACTTCTGGTTTTGGTGAAAAGATGCCATACAGCCTCCAGAGGCTCTAAGCCTTACCTTCTTTCTTTTCAAATGATAGGTGTGTTTTGCATAAAAGCACTAATTTCAGAGAGTCAATTATATAAGGTTATATAAAAGCTTTATATAAGCAAAATATTAAATAAGCCTCTAGGAGAAATGGCTGATAAGGTGTTCACATCCCACTGTAGCTGCGTCTCCAGTGAGGTGCTCTTGGAGAAAACACAGCCCACTGTTTCTGCCCTGAGTGCCTCTCGAGGTTACAGCCTTTTACCTTGCTGCTGCTGCATCCACTCAACTCTCTGTCATCTATAAGTCTGAATGCGTGGTTAGGTGCTATAGGTACAAGAAGACATAGTAGACTTTCTACATTATTAAGCTAGAATTTGGGGGCATGAAGAAGGATACCAAAACTGAACGAATTGACAAAGAGAGACGCTACAAATAAGGGTACGGATTATGTAAGTGCCATTTGTGACTCATGCATATGGAGCCAAGACACAGCCTGCGATGACGTGGTTAATACTGGAGAAGGTGGGAAGAAGTGCAGCAAAACCACTGTCCCCCCAAACCAACTCAGGTTGCCACCTCTTCTTGTGCTAGATATTTGATAACAGATTGGCAATTGATGGTGAGAAATCCTGTTGAAGTAACATTTAGAACGTCAGGAAAGGACTGATGGCATTATGAGGAAGCTGGATTTGGACTACATGGGTGTTTTGGTCTCTATTTCTCTCTTTTTTTTTTTTAATTTTTTTCATTTATTTTTATTAGTTGGAGGCTAATTACTTTACATCATTGCAGTGGTTTTTGTCATACATTGAAATGAATTAGCCATGGATTTACATGTATTCCCCATCCCGGTCCCCCCTCCCACCTCCCTCTCCACCCAATCCCTCTGGGTCTTCCCAGTGCACCAGGCCCGAGCACTTGTCTCATGCACCCAACCTGGGCTGGTGATCTGTTTCACCCTAGATAATATACGTGTTTCGATGCTGTTCTCTTGAAACATCCCACCCTCGCCTTCTCCCAGAGTCCACAAGTCTGTTCTATACATCGGAGTCTCTTTTTCTGTTTTGCATATAGGGTTATCGTTACCATCTTTCTAAATTCCATATATATGCGTTAGTATACTGTAATGGTCTTTATCTTTCTGGCTTACTTCACTCTGTATAATGGGCTCCAGTTTCATCCATCTCATTAGAACTGATTCAAATGAATTCTTTTTAATGGCTGAGTAATATTCCATGGTGTATATGTACCACAGCTTCCTCATCCATTCGTCTGCTGATGGGCATCTAGGTTGCTTCCATGTCCTGCCTATTATAAACAGTGCTGCGATGAACATTGGGGTGCACGTGTCTCTTTCAGATCTGGTTTCCTCGGTGTGTATGCCCAGCAGTGGGATTGCTGGGTCATATGGCAGTTCTATTTCCAGCTTTTTAAGAAATCTCCACACTGTTTTCCATAGTGGCTGTACTAATTTGCATTCCCACCAACAGTGTAAGAGGGTTCCCTTTTCTCCACACCCTCTCCAACATTTATTGCTTGTAGACTTTTGGATAGCAGCCATCCTGACTGGCGTGTAATGGTACCTCATTGTGGTTTTGATTTGCATTTCTCTGATAATGAGTGATGTTGAGCATCTTTTCATGTGTTTGTTAGCCATCTGTATGTCTTCCTTGGAGAAATGTCTGTTCAGTTCTTTGGCCCATTTTTTGATTGGGTCATTTATTTTTCTGGAGTTGAGCTGGAGGAGTTGCTTGTATATTTTTGAGATTA